AAGTTGTAAATTTTTATTTTTCTACTCAAATTTCAAAAGTAACGAATTAGTTATTAATATTATCATTGTATAACAAATTGGTCATTGATGTTATTGATTTACAATAAAATGATCACGCTGATGTGGAACGTTAAACCAGTGATTTGACTCTATTTTATTACAAGAGACTGCCGCACAAATGACTATTTGACTTCTAAAAACTTTTGACATGCATTTAAGAAAAAATTTAATTTCAATTTTTTTTCTTCTTCACTGTTCTTCTCCACCATAAAACCGAAAAGTGTTGAAGAATTCACCGATGCAACAGTCGATGGCCAGAAATCACCTTAACTGATGGAGCATCAACATCATATGACCTCCATTACTGGACAGAGCATCAACCCTATACTTCTGTGACTTGTTGCCATAAAATCTGAATGTGTGTGTCGTCGTCTTTGTATCAATATCTTACGATTTTTGTCGGTATTTTTCCAATCTATTTATAATCATCCACGACTTTCTTCCACCATTGTCTACTTATTTTTGTTAAACTGTAAAATCCAAACCGACAAAGATGCCCAGGTTTACGCGGACTAAGAAATAAGTGAAGTCTCTTCTGATATAAGGAGAGAACCTCAGTTTTTTCTACCTTTGTTGTGCTTAGTTTTGATGAATGTCAGGCGGTAGTTTTTATGTCTCTTCAAGCACAGTTCTTTTATAAAAATATGGGTTTGCCTTTGCCCATTCTTTCTTCATTTGAAGGTGGTTTTAGTCTTCAAGAGCTTTCTTCTCAACAAAATGCTCAAAATTTGGTTTCCATAGCAGTTTCTCAACCTTTAGATGCTCAAATGAAGATTCAAAGGAAGATGATTACTTTCTTCAGTTACTGGTAAAATATGCATTACGAGAGCCCCAAAAAAATCAACAACTAGTTATCCTGCCAACCAAAGACTGTGGAATCAAAGGCATTGTTTGAAACACAACAAGCTCTCGAGAATCCTTTGAATAAGAAAGAAACTACTTAGTTGGCATATTTGAAACCTTCATTGAAAGAGTGTCTATCTAGATTTAGACACCATTATTGTGGACGATATGCAAAAGTTGTGCAACATCACTTGTTCATACTTAAACTAACCATGTTTTTTCGTTTCTAGTTCATGAACATGAATATTTGTGTATAGTAATGGGGTCGCATGGTGTTGATGCTCCACCAGCCAGAGTGATTTAAGACCATTAGTTGTTGCACCGGTGAACTCTGCAACACTTTTTGATTTTATGATGGAGAAGAACGGTGAAGAGAATTTCACTAATATGAAGAAAGAAAATACAAGAGGATTTTGGAGAAATAAAAACTTGATATCTTACTCTTACCTTTAGTATCTATTTATAGATATATATACTTGATTACAGAGGAAGCTTATAAAGTAGAAATCTACATAAAGTAGATTTTCTACATAAAAGAAAAAAATAAAGTTTCTACTTCTAATCAAACTAGATTTCTTATTTTCCCTAATAAATTTAATTAATTTGTGTCACTTTGAATTTGATTCAACTATAACAAATCTCCACCTTATCGAGAATTCTGAAAGTGCGAAGTTTTTTGTTACAAAACACCAAAATTCAATGAGACACCCAAACTCAACAAAAAAAATAATTCTTCACTTCAACGAACACGTTCTCTACCTTTTCCGCAACACTCCCCAAAGGGGTAATCTTAAGTAGTGGACACCGACCGAATCTAAACTTTTTATGTGTTTGGATTTAGTCTTCACATCGACATGGTTATCATAAGTGTCAATTTTGCTCACGAAAGTATCACCACGAGCAATATCATGCACAACAAGATCTCGATCATTAAGGATAAATTCTATCTTCAAATTCGTTATGCCCACGAAATTGAACTTTTTTCTACTTCACATAATTGTTCTTCCCATGGTCATCTTATTCAACAAAAATCTTGTTTCGCTTAATTTAGTCAAGACATTTTTACCAGTAACAGTGTTATTTGACACGGGAGAGGAAACATCAGTTGCATTATCTAAAAGTGTTAAACCCTGTAAAACTTAAAAGTTGGCAATCTTTCTCTACCATTTAATCACAATAAGAGAGCCCTTGCAAATTTTCATAGCTCCACCTTCAATGGAAAATTTGTACCCTTTTGAATCTAAGGTACCCAATGAAATTAAATTTCTACTTAAATTTAGAACATGTATCATATTACCAAGTGTTCAAACAATCTCATTTAACATATTAATCTTGAATGTGTCAATACCTGTGACTTTACAAGGGACATTATTTCCCAAAAATACATCACTTGTAAATACAACCTTATACATCACAAATTAGTCACGATTGTGACTTATATGAAAACTATTACCAGAGTCAAGTATCCATTCATTACTTGTTATAGAGTTGTTATCACACTCCTTCGCTACATCTGCTTCACTAGATTTTCCAGAGTTCTGCTCTTCAGTTTCTCTTTACAAAAATGACAAGTTTTACCTCGGTTGAAAGATTTTGATCTATCATTTCCTTTACTAGTAGAAGAACTTTTCTTTTCTGCCACAGTGTAAGCTAGTCAATCCATGCACCACGAGACCCTCTGTCTAGGACTCGAAACTAGATATAAATGATTTATCTGTTCGAACAAGTGTAGGTCATTGTACACCTCTTCAAGAGTGAGTGTTTCACGACTGTACAAGATCGTGTATCTAAAAGACAGTAGGAAGAAGGCAATGAACGTATGAGGATCAGTCCTAAGTTTTCTTGATTATACTTCATTTCTAAAGTCTCAAGATCGAAGACGATTTCTTTGAATGCGGTAAGATGCTCTTCAAGAGATGAGCTTCTACTAACTTGAACAAATAAAGACAATATTTTACGTGCAACTTGTTGGTGAACGATTTCTACATATATAGTTATTCCAATTTTGCCCACAAAGAAGCAATAATTTTTTTCTTTCAACGCATATGATGTAAGATTTGATTTGATAATTGTAAACGGATCTGAGATAGTGTCTTATGATCCTTACGTTTTTCTTCGTTTGTCCAATCTGACAATGACTTCTTTATCAAACTCTTTCAATGCATCATCTAAGTCCAATTGTGCAATGATATCCTGAATCTTCACCTGCCACAATGATAACCTAGTGTTTTGATCCAACATTGGAATATCATATTTCATTATTGTCATAGTCTTGGACTCGAAGCTTTGATACCAATTTATTATAATATCGAAACAATTATCAACAAACAAATATACACAATCGAAAAAGAAAAACAAAGAACTTTAAGATTTACGTGGAAAACTCCAAAGGAAAAAAACCATGGGTGGAGGAGAAGAATTTCACTAATATGAATGAAGAAAATATAAGAGAATTTTGGAGAAAGAAAAACTTGATATCTAGCCCTTACTCTTAGTATCTATTTATACTGATATATACTTGATTACAAAGGAAACTCATAAAGTAGAAATCCACTTAAAGTAGATTTTTTACATAAATGAAAAAAAAGTTTCTACTTCTAATCAAACTAGGTTTCTTATTTTTTTTAATAAATTAAATTAATTTGCGTCTCTTTGAATTTGAGTCAAACTATAACATGTTGGTCCAAAGTTTTTAGAAGTTAAACAGTCATGGCAATCTTATGTAGCAAAACGATGCAAAGTCGTCGATTTAACGTGCCACATCAGCATTTCGTTACCTCCAATAATGGTTGTTAATGGTGAGTGACCATTTTGTTATAAACCGATAATATCAATGGCCAATTTGGTACAAACTGATAACGTTAGTGACCAATTAGTTACTTTTAAAACTTTAGTAGAAAAACAAAAATTTAGTCAAACTTTAGTGATCACTTATGTAATTTACCCTAAAATTCAATATTTTCTGAAAACATACATTTTTTGCATTATCTAAGATAAAAATAATTTTAATAAAAAATAAGATATAAATAAATTTAATAAAATTAAATATTCATTTAATTAATATAAAAATTATATATATATATATATATATATATATATATATATATATATAACCCAACGAAGAGGTAAGGTCAACTATAGTTTTAGTGAAAATCTCAACATAATAATCACAACTATTATGTATAAAATAAGTAATATTCCCTATTTGCCACTAAATATGTCTTTTTTATTTTTAGTATTATTTTATTTAAAATATTTTATTGAAAAAGTTAAAAGATAATAATATTTAGAGTTAATTGTATTATGCATTCTCAATCTATGATCTTTATTTCAAATTGATCCCTAAATTTTTAAGCATTTCAATTTCACCCCTAAATTATGACTATCATTCTAAATTAATCCTTAAACTTTTAACATTTCATTTTCATCCCCAAACTATGATCTTCATTCTAAATTGATCCCCAAAATTTTTGAACATTTCAATTTAGTCCTAAATTATACATGTTTACTAATCACATCACTTGTTAATAAAATCGTTAAACCGAGTCATATTATTATATGTTTGAAAAAAATAAAAATTAGGTTAAACTATGGTTGGAATGGATTACATATTCGGGAATTTGAAATTAAAATTGAAGATGCAAAAGTTTAGGGACTAATTTAGAATGATATTCGAGGGTGAAATTGGAATGTTAAAAAGTTTAAAGACTAATTTAGAAGGAGAGTCATAATTTTGAAATGAAATTAGAATGTTTAAAAGTTTAAGAACTAATTTAAAATAAGGGGCATAGTTTAGGGACATATGATAATATTTATATTTTTTACCCTTGAATATCTCTTTTTTTATATCTATAAAATAAATTTATCAAATTTATCGATAATTTTTTAAAGTAATTTTGTCGTTTTTAATTAAATATATATATTAAAACTATGCATATACCAATATAAAACGTAAATTCTAAGGCAAAAGAATTATAAAAAGAAGTAATAGGTTGCGGCTAGGCCCGAAGCAGCCAATTATTCAAGTCCAACCCAATCTGCCAAAAATGAACAGCCTCGAAAGACTCCACGAGCGGCTAAAGAAAGGCGTAGCTGAGTTGAACTGTGAAAATGGAGAGCGAACCGAAACCAAGCGACGAGCTATCTAGATTCCTTGATTCCGGTTTTTACAACTTTCCGAATTCAAATGCCGTATTCATCGACCCAGTTCGCGTGCTTAATCAATCCTACACTCGTTTTAGGGTATCTCCTTTCACCTATTACTCCCGCTTCTTTGAATCCAAACACCCAGCTCAAGGATCCAATCCTAAGAAACGAAAACGAAAATCGAAGAAACAAGATCGCTCCCTCAATGAAAAAGAAAAAGCAGCGGAAAAGCGTCATCAGGTAAATTAATCACAATCATGGAAACGGTCTTTTGTTTATATATATAAATTGTTTTTCATTGCCTTTTTTCCTGTTTCGTTAAGGAGGTGGTGCCTTATATTGAAGGCGCATGAATCTTTACTTGGAGCAGCTGATTTTTCTGCGATTATGAGGAAAACGAGGAGTGTCTTTTGTTCTTCACCGGAGCTAAGTGGTGGTGAAGAACATTCTTTCATTGAGCTTGGGAAAGTTTGGCAAGCTCCTTTGTATGATATAACTCTTGATTTTAAGTTAAGACGACTGGAAAACGAGACTGATAATGGAGGTTTGTTTAAGAATGATGTTCTTTGGTTTAATGAATAACATTTTTTTTATTAATTATTCGATAGTGACTCTCGCATCTGCTTCAGAAAATCGAATCAATGAGCGGAGAGTGCTTCCGATTTTTAATAACTTAGTGGTCAACGGCAAGCCTGAAGATGTGGAGGCCGAATTTCTGAATAGGCATTATATTTTACCTAGACTGAGTTGCTTCTACATGGTGTGTTGATTTTCCTTTTTAAAATGTCTAAAAATAAGGAAAATATTCAAAACATAGAATTCATGGAAATGTTCAACTATTATTATGTTATCATTTGGTGGAAATTAAATTGCATATTTGAAATGTTTCAGATTATTTTTATAATGTCTTAATGTTTTTTTCCTTGACCATGTTGAAGTCGGATTTGGAGCAGATTTGCGATATCGTTCCTGGTAAATATTAAACCTTAAGTTCCATTCAATTTAGGATGCATTATATGTTTCATATTGCAATAATTCATGTTGAGAGATGACCCTCAACCTTTTAGTCAGGCATTGAAATCATGCCACTTGCGATTCCAATATGTTATCTGGTTCTGCATTTTCTTATTGGGTCATGTTTGCTAAATTTTTCATCAGCTGTTTTAAAATCACTGTGAAATAGAATTATGATGAACATTTTCTTCCTTTTTTTTGGCTGATACAGCTGTATCTGATAGTGGCTTCAACCTTATAGTTATTGATCCTCCATGGGAAAATGGAAGTGCCCGTCAGAAATCAGTGTATGCAATCACATATTTAAGTGTCTCAAAGACAATATAACTTTTGACCCTTGAGAGCTTCCTTATCATAATCTTGTGTTTTTTTTGCCAATTTATTTTTGTATGTTTTTTTTCTTGATTACTTCAGGTACCCAACTTTACCAAACCGGTATTTCTTATCTCTTCCTATAAAGCAACTTACACACACAGGTGGTGCACTTGTGGCCTTGTGGGTGACAAATAGAGAGAAATTGCGTAACTTTGTCGAGAAAGAGCTATTCCCCGCATGGGGAGTTAGATATATTTCCACTACTTACTGGTTGAAGGTGACCCCCCATGCACCTTTTTTTTAAAAAAAATCTTTCTGTTATGTATTTGGATGAAGTTAAAACAGTGCTTATTGCTAGTTATCATTTCATTTGGCTTTTGCTCGAGGTTTTCAGGTGAAAGGAGATGGTTCGTTGATCAGTGATCTTGGCTTCTTTCATCATCGACCATATGAATGCCTTCTCCTGGGATATTGTAATGGAAATGTAATGAGCAAATGCTATGCATTGTGTCTATTTTTAATTGTGTTTTTAGTTGCTAGTGGCTCCTGACTGGATTCTTTTTGTTCCTTACCTTGTGGAACTTTTACAGGAAATGGATTCAGATTGCCTTTCAGAATTTATGCCCATAAAAGATAAACGTATTATCATAAGTATTCCTGGTGGTTACTCCAGGAAGCCCCCGATTGGAGGTATTATTTTATTGATAGGGTACTTAAATAGTTCTTATAATATATGGTTTCAAGCATTTATTACCTCTTCACCATGCCATCAAAGATGTTCTTGACCAAAACATGAACTATTTTTCTAATAATTTTCCTTCTTTTGTATAAATCATTTGAAAAGGACAATACTTGCGTAATTCATCTTTTAATGGTTATGAAATAATTACCCCTGTTAAATGATAACCAACTCTTGCATGGCTACTCAGTGCCTGAATTTTGCTCATTTAAAATTCTGTTCTTCTGTTCTTTTATGCTTGTAGAATTACTGTTGGAGCATGTTCCAGGAGTTAAACCTGCTAGATGCATTGAACTCTTTGCTAGAGAAATGTTAGCTGGGTGGGTTTCTTGGGGAAATGAACCACTTCACTTTCAGGACTCAAGATATTTTGAAACAGTGAATACGTAAATTATCCTGGGACTGCCATCTCATGGGAATCTGCATTCAAAGTTTACCTGGTATAGATTGGTTTGGTTCAGTTTCATATCCCCAAACACATTATCCTAGCTTGGATGGTTATCAATCTGTGCCGATCTAAGATAAAATGAGCAAATGGAGCCTTTCAGTAGCTGAAGATGAAAGCTGTATATCCAGATTGCCTAGGCCTATTGGAGATTGGCAACACTGATAAAAAGTTGAGAGCCGAAGCACTGATCACTCTCCTCGGTCCTCACTAAGCTTGCTTCGAGTGACTGCTTTGATTTACTATGTTACTCAAGAAAGGAACATCGGATTCCTTGGGCTTGGCATGAGAGAATAAACAGTGATATTCCCAGTTCACTGCATGGAACTTGAAGCATTTCCAATGACCCCGTGAGTCATATCTGCTTAGTTAAATTTTCACTTCTGTTTTGTTACATCTTCTGGTCTGTTTAGTTTCCTGTTAGTTGCAGAATTGTTTTCACAATGGCAGGTCACGCCCGGATTCTTGGCTTGTATGAAAATATAGAAAAGTTTTGTAATAATGTATATGGACTTTATGTTATTGTTTAGTAACCAAAAAAAAGGCAAAATATTACTGTTGACATTTTTCGACGAAGATGTATCTTTAATAGGGGTGAGCGTTCTATCAAGTTGAGATTAAAAACTTTAAGTTATTCGAGTTAACTAGTTCTATTTTACATTTTGAAGTTGACTTAAAAAAATTTCGAATCAAGTTGAGCTTATAAAATTCGAGTCGAGTAGAGTTTAGTTAAATTTTTATTTAAATTTAATTGTAAATACTTATGATATTATTATATTATTTGATTTCAATTTAAATAATTTTTATAACCATATATAATACATATGTTATTCATTATATAATATTCATATATTATACAAGTCGAGGATTTTACTCAAATTTGAAAATCAATCTATTAATTACTAAAAATTTGAGTTATTCAGTTGTATTTTACAATTAGATTTAACTTGAAATTTTTCGAATCGAATTGAGTTTATGAAATTATAATTCCAAGTTAATTCGAGTCGTGTTTTTCGAGTCGAATTAAGTCAAAAGATTAATTTTTGGAATCGAATCGAGTTTCGTTCCTTCCTAATTTTCAATTTTTTTAAATTAAATAATTTATATTTCCTTAATTAAAAATAGCGCTGATAAAATAATGTTTGAGATTAAGTTAAGACATCGTAAGCAAAATACAATAACGAAGTGCTAACAGAAGTTCCATATATTAAGACATGCAACAGCACTGGCAGTACGATGGATATATCCAACTCATATGTTAGTGTGAATAGACAGTAAATAACGTGTCAAAATAACTGCCACCATTCGTAAGAACCGACAAAGAAATGCAAACCATACATGCATATATATGTCGAATGAGATAGTCCCGAACAAAAATTCGTAGATATCAGCCACCGTGCAAAGACAGACAGAAAAGACAGAACAATCAATCAATGTGGAATAAAATAATATGGATCACGGTCAAGCATACACATTATCGCATAAATTTAAACAACAAACATGTGTCAACAGTAATATAAAAAGACAACAAATCTAACACCAACAAACAATCAGAACCAAAGAAATCCAATCAAGAATATAAACATGTACCGTCTCCCGTAATTCAAACTGAAAAATAACGATAATCATGCCCTCTATCACACGAAAAAGGACTGAGGGAACAGTTAATACCCATATTAAGACCTGTCTTCCTGAAAATACAAGAAGAATTTACTTACAGTAAGACTAAAGAGAACACAAAGAAAAACGATAAGATAGTTGCTGGCCAAGGCGAAACGACCACCCGAGGCCCGACAAGGAGGGATGTGGCAAAACAACTAAATGTCGACGAACAAAGAGAGAGGTTTGCAGAGCGGTATATAAACAAAGAGATGTATCTTCAATGTTGAACAGGAAATAATTGTAAATATTTAAAAAAGTATATAAATAATTATTGAATTTCTTTAAAAATTCAAATAAGAAATCCAAATAAGTTGATTTTAAATTATATTATTAAACACGTTGAAATTAAGAAATCATTTTCAAAGGTTCGAAAGTTTACCAAAGAAGGTCTAATACCATTTTGATAATTTTCGTGATGATTCTAATAACTTCGACTTAATTATCTTTATTGTCGATTTTTTTATTGAAATTAATTTTTACCGATAAATACGATATAATTTTTTTAGAAAAAAGTTGTCAAATTATTTCAAGTAGGGCTGTGTCATTCTCAACTTTGCATGTAAAATTATCCGTTAAATGGATGAATCAACATAATATGTTCTTAAACATTGACACCTATATTAGATATATTAATGGATGTTGAGCATATTCTGGAAGATGCCAACTCAGCATAGTTGATTATCCAGCTCAGCACAGTTAGTTGTTAGGCTTAACAACCTTGGCTTCTAATTCTGTTACTATTTGTTGTATAAAAACAATGTAGTTTTGTGAATGATGAATGAATAAGATTCTTGATGCATTTCTTCACTTTGCTTTTTCAACATGGTATCTTTCGCCATTAATCTTGGAGGCTTCTTCCCTCCGTTGCTTCTATGATAGTTGCTGAAAAGTTTCACCTCCTTCTTCCTCCACTGGTATTTCGTCCATGGCTGCTAAGATGTTGTGCACAGCCTTGATCTTGGAGAGTCGTCGAAACACAATCGCTTGTTTACCAACAAGAAAATCAACATTGTGCTCGATGAAATTAACTACCTGTTGTGGAAACAACAAGTTCTCTTAACAGTAAGGAGCCATCGCTTGGAACAGTTGCTTACTGGGAACTTAAACCTCCATCGACGCAGATTCAGTCCGGAGATGGCACTCTTGAGGTCAATAAAGATTACAGGTCTTTGTGGCACAGGACATTACTTTAGCCTCATGGTTATTATCTACAATCATTGATCACATACTTCCTCAATTCGTTAGTGCAGAAACAACTGCGGATGTGTGGTCAACGATCCTCAAATTCTTTGCCAACCGATCTACAACGACTGTAATGAGCCTTCACTGCAAGTTAATGTCAATTAAGAAAGGTGATGAGAGTATGAGTTTGTATCTTACACAGATCAAAGAGGTTTGTGATGCACTAGCTTTGTGTGGCAGTGCAATTTCAGATCTGGAACAAATAGCCACTATATTGAATGGCTTACCGTTTGAATATCAACCATTTATGGCGGTTATAACGGCAAGTAAAAAAGCCTTTTCTCTTGATGAAGTGAAATTTGTGCTAGTTGATGCCGATGAACAACTTAAGAGCTTTTAGCTTCAAACTCAGGTGTCCATGAGTGCAAATGTTATTCATATGCAGAACAACAGTCAAGATCATGGTCGTTCCAACCAGTACAATCAACCTTATAGTTCGGGTGCAGGTCTGGTGCACGATCAGGAGCTCGTGGTTGAGGACGTACTAGGCTTTAATGCCAGTTGTGTGGTAAGACTGGTCACTCAGTGGACAGATGTTGGCATCTCTTTGATCAGAATTTTCCAGGAGTGTTAGCACATAAAGATGAATCTACTACCATAAATGTTAACTCATGTGAGGTGGCCAATGGTTGTCCTTCATGCAACAATAATGCACATGCTCAGGTTCATATGGTCTCATCAACCTCAGACAGGTGGGTTGTAGACTCAGGAGCCACGCGTCATGTCACCCCTGAGGCTTCTAAGGTGATCGATGGCTTGGACTATACTGGTCCAGGTAAGCTGGTCGTGGGTAATGGTCAACCTTTAAACATTAGTAAAACTGGAACTGTTGTGCTTAATACTAAGAGTCGAGCTTTGTTCCTTCATAACTTACTTCATGTTCCATCTGTAACTAAAAATTTACTTTCTGTCTCAATGTTTGCTAGAGACAATGGCGTCTACTTTGAGTTTTATGCAAAGAAGTGTCTAGTTAAAGATGAAGAAACGAATGATGTTTTGTTACAAGGACAAGAGAGTGGTGGATTGTATCAATTTGATGCCACAGTGGATGATCAACATAGTGGTGCAAATGGTTTAGAAGAAATGTAGTTAATAAAGTTTCAGGTGATATGAAAAGTTCATATGCCTTGTGGCACATGAGACTTAGGCATCCTGCTCATGCCTCACTTGTAAAAGCTTGTAAAAACGTCGGCATTGTTTTTCCTACTACTGCAAATATAGTAAATGGTGATATGTGTGTTGCATGTAAAATGGGAAAAAGTCTTAAGATTCTGTTCAATGAATCATCTATGGTTTATAACAATCCCTTTTGGCTTGTATTCTCAGACTTATGGGGGCCCTCGCATATGTTTCAAATAACTTTTATTATTATGTTTCGTTTGTTGATGCGTACACGAGATATTGCTGGGTATATTTGTTGAAAACCAAGGATTAAGCCTTACAAGCTTATCATTCGTTTCATGAAATGGTCAAAACACAGTTTAGTGTTGTGATTAAAGAAGTGCAAACGGATTGGGGAGGTGAGTATCGACTATATCTTCTTTATTGACAAAGCTGGGTGTTCACAATCGATTGTATTGCCCACATACTTCAGAACAGAACGGAGTAGTCGAGAGGAAACACCGCTACATTATCGAATTGGCCCTTGTCTTGATGGCTCAAGCATCTTTACCATTTAGATTTTGGTCATATGTAGTGAGCATTGCGGTTCATCTAATCAATCGCCTTCCCACACGAGTTTTGCAAGGAAAGTCACCTTTTGAGGTATTGTATAACAAATTACCAGATTATGAGTTTTTACAAGTGTTCAGGTGTAGGTGTTTTGCTTATCTTCGTTCTTATCAAATTATAAACTTAGTTAAGGTCACAACTATGCACCTTTCTTAGATATAGCTCACAACACAAGGGATATCAGTGCATGGCGTCTGATGGGAGGATCTACATCTCGAGGCATGTTATTTTTTATGAACAAATCTTTCATTTTATAGGTAAACAAGATGTTAAAAACAATGGTCAAAACTCTACAAAGTTGACCATGCAGCTACCTGTGGTTAATGGAGCAGGAAGGGTTTACATGAGAATAGGTGTGTTACACGAAAATCAAGAACAACCACCCATCGTGCATCTACAAGCTAACACGATGTCTCAAGATATAGGATAACAAATGTCTAGTACTAGTCCTATTGTGAACTCAACCAGGGGAAGTATGGAGCACTCGAATGCATTTGAACAAGATACTACAAATCAGTTACCTAATGGCACTAGTTTGACTCAAAGTGAGTCACAATGTGTGATGTGGAATACGTGTGATGAAGTGCAGTCAGCAGCTGCCCCTGTCGCTGGACACCCTATGATGACCAGGAGCAAATGTGGAATCTTAAAATCGAAACTCTATTCCATGGTTCATGTAGAAGCTGAAAAGGAACCAGCTCGATATATGAGGCATTACTGTCTCCTCAGTGGAAGCAGCAGTTAATGAGGAGTATGAAGCGTTGGAAAGAAGCAACACATGTCCCTTGTTAGTTTACCTAAAGGACGATCAATAGTGGGATGCAAATGGATCTTTCGAGTGAAAAGGAA